GTCATTCTCCAAGATTCCACGCATTTTACTCTGATAAAGTAAGCGGGACCTAAAATGAGTAAAGAGTAGTAGTAAAGAGGTGTTGATAATTTAATTATTACAATTTTGCTTCTATGCTGTTAACACATCGATAATAATGGAACTGAGCAGATGAAAATGAAAAGAAAAAGTAATGAACCGTATTCATAGATCTGCATTATGAGACTCTGAGTGTGATACTGTAATCACATGGCCCTAGGTCAGATGATGGAATTCGAATAATCGACAAGCGCGCTAATACCCATTTTGCTTTGCTTCCAACGTTACATAGTATAGTCGACAGAAACATTTGGCACCTCAACCAGGAGTGGTTTGTTAACGATGCAGCATTTGACGACTGATAGATTGTTAGTGAGAACTAGGTGGAAAACATGCTCCATTGCTAACAAACCGCTCACCTAGAGGAACTGTCCGGAAACACTCTAGTAATAAACCATACCTAGGGCTGATTACAAATTCGCAGTTGAAGACACTTACCTCAGAACTTCTAAATCTTCAGCAGCTGCACTGCAGGCGACCGGTGATGAGAAGAAAAGACGAGGTAGTGGACAACGCAAGCGCACACTTACTAGAGGGGCAACGCGAGAGCTTACGAGACGAAACATTGCCTAGAAAGGTGGTAAGTAAACATTAAGGTAATTATGCATTCGATGATAGGAAAGACAGATCTTCTATGAACATGAAATTGATAAATGCAGCTTAGAATTATGAAGACAAATATCATCGTACTCTAACTTCATATGAGGACATGTTACACAACAAATTTTCTATTGTGATGTTAGTTAATGTTTACTGAAACAACTCCTCATCTGTTTGCCAAATTTCAAAAAAGAGTAGTAAACTAACAAACAAAATAAAATCCTGAATGGGGAAAAATTGTTACGCTACTCATCAACTGCATACAAGAATTTTGGCTCGCGAAATAATATGTGAAACAAACCATTATCCGTCGGGCCCGACAATATAATCAGGATCTTTAGGCGTCCACTTATACTAGCGCTCTCAACAACGTATTCACTTAACATTGGTCTCAGGGTACAAAACGAAGACGTTATTCCAATTGGACTAACTATAAACACCAATATTTCTCAGTAAAATTCTGCAGTTTCTTAGAAAAACAAAATTTCAA